AAAACTTTTGGGGGCCAGGAAAACGGGAGGGGGGAGGGGGGATTGCCCGGTTAGGTTTTCATGCGGAAATAGCACGGAGGTTTTTTTTTTGGATGGGAAATTATTCCCGGGAAAAAATTTAAAGATTCCGGTTTTTGGGCCCAATAAAGAAACATAAAAATGGCGGGCCCCCATTTTGGGGATTTGTTCTAAAAGTTTGGGGGTGATAAAAAAATTAAAAGGTGTTGTTCCCGGGAAAGGGGGAAATTTCCCAGATTTCCCGGGCACCAAGGGGGCCCTTGAGTTGTCCTTGTTATTTTGCCCCCCCCCGTGGAAGGTGTAGGTACACACACACACCTGGGGGATAGGGGGGGTTTTATTGGGGTTTTTTGTAAGGGGTGGGGTGGGGGTTTGGGTTTGGGTTCAGAACCCCCCGTTTTTTTTTTCAAATAAAAGGTTGGCAGGTTTTTAAAAAATAAGGGTTTACCCCCCCCCCCCCCCCCGCTCTAATCCTGCGAAGGCTTTTGTGGCACGGAACACGTCCCCGGGGTAATAGAGCCAGTTTTTTTTTAATTTAGGCGTCGAGTACACTCGCCATGGATGGCTGGCGGTCCTCGGGCGTGCGTGGTAACGCACCGACGATCCCTCTTGCGTGCCCCGGAGAAGGAAGCGAGAGAAAATATTGACTTCCGCCAGCGAAAGATGTCCCGAAGCCCAAAAACAGGCGAAATGATACATATGCATATGACGCTTGGTATCGTCGCGAAAGACGGTGGTCCGTAGTCAACCTTCCTCACCCGTCCATGACCTCCGCACCCCGCCCCCGCCCCCAATGTGGCGCGTGGCAGAACCCCCACGCAACCGACAGTCCCGCGGCCGACAGCGCCAAACGAACCGTCAGAAATCCCGCCGCGCCCGCAGCCAGTGAACCGGCAAGCAGGCCGCCAGCGATCGCCTGGATAGACAGTTGCGCGAAGCGTGTGGTGGGCAAGTGCGATGTGGTACGCACAGCACCGGCCAGAAAAAGGAGTAGTAGTGGGAGTTTCTTCTTCTGGCATGCTACCGTAAGGTGGCGAAACACCATGTGTGCGTGTACCTATATATGATATGTCGGCCCAGATGCCGGCGGGGGCCATATTCATTCCCTGTGTTGTTTTGCGCTGTTGGAGGTGGCATGACGCAAGATAACACACACCCTGGACCGATTTTCGAAGAGATCAGCCTCGGCAAAAACAAGGGGTTCTCAAGAGCGGGCGCTAGGTGTGCCGTCAGAGGGGAGACGGCCATGAGCCTACCTGCATCTCGCGAAGATGCCGGGCAGCAAGCACCTGTAGCCGAGGCACCCTGCGGCATGGTGGTGGTGGTGGCGGCGGAGCCGAAAAATATGGAGAGTTGGTGGGCGAATAGTTATCGGACCGTTGACCACGCGTCCTCGAGAGGACGGAACGTTGGGGGGGGACCGGGCGTACTCATGTCTTGCATGCCCTGGAGTAGTTATTGGAACATTGAGCACGCGTCCTCGATAGGACGGAGCAGCGTTCCCACTGGATCTATCACCGATGCGTTCCTTCCTACGTCGCCAAAGGTGTGCGTGTGGGGGGCAGAAGACAGTCGGTGCTAGACATGTTGGCGATACATTAAGTATACCGCACGCTTCCCCACAACTCAGGAAACTAGAGAGAAAGCACGGATTCATCACCGCAAAAGCGCCTTTGTCCCGCACGTGAAAAACACTTAACACATGGTATGTAGGTACGGTTTGTGGGAAAACATTTCTCATTGAAGAGTGCTTTGATGAATGTCTCAGCCCCTCCTACAAACCCAGTACCCGTCGCAAGGACAAAAATACGCTTGGGTTCCAGTAGGGGTTACGGGTGCGGGTCGGGAGGTACTCCCCCCCCCCCCTCTATTCCATTGTGTGGGGGGCGTTTGGTGCCGTTCGAATAGCGCCGGTGCCCGGTATGGTGCCGGTGTTTTCGGCGGGCACAGGCCGAACAACCAAGTAATTACCGTGGCGGTCAATTTGCTGGGCACATACCGGTGCTTGAAAGCCTGGAAGAGTTAAACAGGGACCTCTACAAATACCTCGCGAAGGCGGTCCCTCAACCTGGCAGCCGCCGCCGCCGCCGCCGCCGCCGCACGGTTTAAGAAAAAACCGGAGCGTTCTCTTTTTTCTTATCCCAGACCTCCCTCAAGCTACTGCTGCACATCCGAAAGACACATTGCACGTGGAGTTCGTTTAGCACGGTTGAAAGAAACCCTCGCTTAGGAGAGTGCCTTTTTTTGCTTGTTCCAGCCCTCCCACAATCAAGCTAAGCTAGAAGCCGTCGTCCCATGCATACCTGGTCGCAACGGAGGGAACGACCACCCACGCCAGGCACAGGACGAAGCCGTTCCCGCCCATGCTCTCCAGCAGGAAGAAGAAGAGCTGGAAGTGGAACAGCGGCAGGAGCGAGAAGGCCTGCAAGAAGGGGGAGGGGGGAACCCGAACGGGAGTGGGGTGGGGTGGGGTGACGCGGATGCGAATGGGGGGTGGGGTGGGGTCAAGGGTTGAGGGCAACGCGGATGGGGGGTGGGGTGGGTTGGATAGGGAAAAGCGCTGCCAATGATGCGTAAGATATGTTGTTGTTAAACTTATCATCCAAAGAAAGTCGTCCGTCCCTTTCAGAAGCAAAGGGGACGACGCGATCTGGTAGCAGGGTGGGTTGGGGGCGAGGCGGATGGGGGTGGAGTGGGGTGGGGTGGGGGGTGGGACGGGGCGGGAAAGCGCTTGCCAATGATGCTATAGAAATGTTGTCGTTGCTGTTGTTGTCTTCACATAAATAGTCGTTCCGATCTCTACTCAGTACCACCTTCTACTATCACTCCGTACTGGTCCAAATGACTCGTGAATGAATGCAAACAAACAATTCATCGCAGCAAACGGTGGTAGGGTGCAAGGCGCCCTCAACAAAACAACAGAAACATGCTTTCCATGGTCAAAAACATGTCACTCCCCGCTTGCCTGGTGAACCAGTAATGTGTGTCGGCACCCTAGCAGGTCTGGCGTAAGAGGTGGAGAGACAACACCCCCCTACGGTAGACCGATCTTCAAAGCTCGATTGCCCCACAACCAAGATCGTGCCGACAAACAAAAACTGTGGTTGTTGAAACATCTCATGGAGCACTTTCCGTATCCGTATCGGGCTCTTTCTGCACCTTCTTAGTTGTGGAGCAATCGAGTTTGGAAGGTCGGTCTACTGAAACTGAATGTTACCACACGGTGAGCAATCTGGAAGACCCGTCGGAAAGAGCTCACGTGATACAAGCTCATGTGGGACAGAAGTGATTGCTGTGCCTCGGCTTAGCAGTAGACTGAGAGAGTGGGGGCGGACCATCTACTTGCAGCTCCCTCGAAATGTGGGGCTACAAAAGGTTCCTGTTCCCTGCTTTTATCCTTTCATCAGGAGTTACATATCTACATATCCCACACTGTCCTCTGGGTAGTAGCCCGGACCACCTTCGCGAGAATAGGGAGGGGGTACGCAGACGCTATTCCTGCAACCCTACCCCGAACCCAACTTCCCCTATTGTACGTTTTATCCAACATGTTTACTTAATCGAAAAACCCTGCGAAGGCAACTGATTAGCCCGCACTACCGTTGATACTTCTCTACGTTCATATCCAATAACTAGGGATGGGGTTGCAGTAGCCCGCACTTTCCTCCATTCGAATCCCATACTACACTACAGGGGCGGTGTCATCTCTTCATCTCCGACGGTACTCCCAGTTCACTCCGGGCAACACCCCCCGCTATTCTACCTCACGTGGTGTCCTGTCCACAAAATGAAGATAGCCTTCGTGGACAGCAGTAGATGAGAAGTTGTTTGGCACATCCCCTTGTTTGGCTAGAGTTTCGCTAAACAACTTGGGATACTACCGTAGGTTGCAAAAGACACCACACACCCCCTGGACCGAATTTCAAGCCTCTATTGTTCCACGACGAAGAGGATGCCGAAATTAAACGGTGTCTTTTCGGGAAGCTCTCGAACGAGACATTTCCAGTGCCGCCATTTCCGGCACCGCCACCCCCCTCTGTTGTCGAGGAATCGAGCTTTGAAAACCAGGACAGGGGTGTGATATCTTACGTCATGCAACCTGTGGTATGCAGTTGCATAGCAACCGTCGGCTGCCGCCGCCGTGGAATTGTCGAGTGGGATTCGACAGCAACAACCACGGAACACACTTTTAGGTCCCTTCACCGGTGGATGCCCATCACTTAATCTCACACTGCTGTATATGTAGACAATCCTGCCTCCCGCTCTGCTGTCTATCTCCGTTCACCTGATCAGTCCACACAATAAAAATCTCACCGCAAGCCCCGATAGCGCGTGTCCAGCGCTCTCGACTGCCGCCGAATAGGAAGAAGCCCCCAGGCGATCCATCGCCAATGGCTTCGAAGGTGTTCGCCTACCACCGCGGATTGATGATTTCCCCGCGTTGTCCTACAGCAGTGCTGCTATCGGCGCGAAACAAAGAGAGGCACTTGCAACGGAGCGCCGTCAAAGAAGATGCCGTTTGTGTTGCATCCGCAGAAACTGGCAGAGAGGCACTTGCAGCGGTAACCTCATGCAGCAGGCACAGCATCACTGGATCAGTAAAAACAGCGTGGAAATTCCCTCACCGGCATCGCTGCCGAGCTGCTGAGCTGTAGGTGGCGAGCAACCAAGGCCGCTTGGCTTGGATGATCAAGCGATTTCATCGTATGATCTCCCATTTTGGTCGAAATCTCCGATGCAATCTCCGGAGAAGGGGGGGCACGCGAGGAGAGAAAGCCGTTGGTGTTTTTCCTTGTGGTGTTCTCGCGACGAAGCACAGCAGCAACCACCACGCAGCAAGCGAGGGAACAGGAGCTAGCGTAGAGATCGAGCAAAGAGAGCGGTAGAGGTTGATCGGTATCACCGCCACTGGCTCACAGCAACCAACCGTGCGCCACGGTTTCCGGAAAGCGCCGGAGAAATGAGCACAACAGCAGCAGGAGCAGCAGCAGCAGCAACCCCGGCATTCGAAAACAACCCTGATGGGGAGCCACCTGCTGCTGCCGCTGGTGCTCCGACGACAGCGAAGGAGCAGCCAATGTCTGCTGAGACGGGAGGGAGGGGTGCTGGCGGTGGCGTAGAGGACTTCGCGTGGGAGACGTCCAAGGAGAACGTTATGCCCCTCAAGAGAGGCCGCAAGGTGGACGCCATCCACAACGCCTACGAGAGCAGCGGCAGCGGCGCCGGGGGCGGCTTGGGGTGTTCATCTTCTGCGCGCGTGTTGGCTGACTTGAAAAGGTGCGATGCGGGGAGGGAGTGCCTTCTTAGGAGTGTCGTTCCACGTGTGCGCTGGACGGCATCTGAATAACGTTCCCGCCGTGCGAGCAGCAGCTGTAGCTCACATGAGCAGCGGCGAACCCTCTATATGAATACTGCCATTGCGGGAAATGATATGCATACAGATTCCAACATGTTGTGCTGGTACACAGAGGAGCCGCAGTAACTGCTGCATGAATGCATATGATGTAGATAAAAGGTAGCGCATTTGAACCTCGGCCTGTGTGCTGCTTGTGGGCACGCATGCATGTACGGTCAGGAGTTTTGCGTGGCGCTATCGTGCAAGACGTGCTGATTATCCACCGAACGCACCAGTCTGTCCGCGCACATCATTTGCCTTGTGGCTCTCAAACACCACACCAGCCTGCTGCTAAGATACAGGTAGTTTCTTGCATGTAGAAAGACAGACGGGCCCGACCTACAGCAGTACAATTCCATTTCTCCGCATCTTTGACGGCTTGTTATCTCTCCCTCTCTCTGTGATTGCCGGGTCCTGGAACACTGGCCTGCAGGGCGTTTTCCTTGTGTCCACGCTGCTACTGCTGTAACAATCGTGTAAAGGAGCGGCTTGTTGTCGAAGAGTGTCGTCGTCCTTGTGTGCATGCATTGCCTGCTGCAACTACTGTGCGTATCTGTGCTCATGTGCATACGCATACTAACGCATACAGTCTGTAACAGGAGGCCCAAAAGTTCTCTCGCATGCACGCCGGTGGTGGCGTCAGTAGCGAAGGCGTACGGTCATCACACGACCCTTCACCCCCACCCACCCACGTACACACGAGGGCCGCTCAACCGGGCTCGGTTTACAGTCGTGGCTCCGATATAAGAGGGTGGTGTGACAAAAGGCCCTGGATCCTCTTATATCGGAGCCCCCTCTTATACCGGAATAAGAGAGTACTCAACTATACTATAGAGGGTCGAGTCCGTGACAACCAATTTAGATCCTCTTACATCGGAGCCACGACTGCCTGTATCCCACGCACCGCAACATGACGTTGCGTCCACCCCAGCTTCATCCGTACCATCTTCAACCACGTACCGTACAATTGGTTGCATAAGGTGTCACACCCCGTGGACCGTTTTTCGAAGCTTGATATCTCGGCAGGAACAACAGCCGTGACAGCGCCGAAAATGGCGGGAGGCGTTAGGACCGTCTCGTCTAGAGCTTTCCGAAAACGTACATTCTGTACCACCTTCAATTTCGACATCCTCTTCGTCTTGGAGTATGTAGTCGAGCTCTGAAAAATAGGTCCGGAATATTACGTCACACAACCTGCGGTATGTAGCTATCCGTAGCCAGTGGGTTGTCCTAGCTTGCACCGTTGTGTCTTCGTTTCAGCACCCGCTACACCATGTAGGTACGGTAGCCTTTGGAACAATTGCCGTATGGCATACGATAGCAGGGACCCTTCTTGATTATATGCTTCGCGCCCTTGTGCTTCACGCAGACACTTCGAGCCTCTAATCGCTGACACCGAATCGGAGACAGGGGGCCCACAAAACGATAATAAGGGCGATGGGGGTGGGGGGGGGGGGGAGGAGGAGGACAAGCTCGCGATCTGGTGGCAGTACATCCAGACTGTTCAGGATAAGCTCCCCTCCGATCAGCAGGTACGTTTTTTTTGGTAGCTGTTGTTGTTGTTGCTGCTGCTGGTGGCTAATGTGGTTGTTGTTGCTGCTGCTATTGTGGTGGTGGTAGTTTTTCCCGCTGCTGGTGTTTCGTCGTCGTCGTTTCTGCTGTTGTTGTTGTGGCCATTGTGCTGCTACTGCTGGTGGTAGTGATGGTGGTAGTAGTTGCCGCGGCTGCTGCTGCTGCTGCTGCTGCTGCTGTCATCGTTGTTGCAATCTTCGCAGCGAAAAAGTCATTCCGTCCCGCATGCAGACTCGAATCGGGTGAGCGAGTGACCGATTGTCCACACTGCAAGCAGCTTTCCCCCTATTGCCCCTCGGAAAGATGGAATACACGGCGCGGCTGTTTAGTAAGATCATGGCGGGTCTGGGCCATGCCATCCAATGTCAGACCAAAAAGAAGTGCGTCACCCAATGATGACGTTATTTAATACCGATGTTACGACCAGTTAATACCGATGTTTCCTTCTGACGCCACACAGCGATATTTCGCGCTTCATGAAGCAATCTTCAACCTATACTACTGCCATTGGCAAGGAATCCAAGGCAATCAGCGGTATTCGATAGTTCTCCGCACCCGCACCCTCCGTCAAATCTCCGCGAGAGGGTCTAAGGCGAAATTTACCATGCGTGTTGTTGCATGACGATTACTTATCCGTCTTTCGATGAGATAACCCCCCCCCCCCCCCCCACCCCCCGGGGTTTGCCATCCCGGTTGGGTTTTCCTCGCTTGACAGCGATGTTGTAAAACAAGCCGATCACTTCCTGAGCTCAGCAAGCGGGTTACCGGTTTTTTTTTTTCTTTTTTTTTCTTGGGATAAACATGAAAAGGGGTCGAATAAATTATTTGGGCGGGGGCCAAAACCCTCCCTCCCCGCACAGGGGAAAATCGCACGGTGGGTTACATTGGTCAAGCATCCTCAAGGG